AAAGATGTTTTTACACTTGGCCTTGCCTGCCAGCCACAGGCCCTCTGACCAGGGAAAGGTGGGTACGATAAGTCATATCATAAGATTAACGCATAGTTTTTCCTTTTCCCCCCTCCATCTATGTTTTGTTTTGTTTTTAGTTTTTGTTTCATGTAGACATCATCAACACATGGTGAAACATCCAGATCTTAATAAACAGTTGGATGAGTTTTGACAAGTGCCTAGACCCAAAACACAAAACCACCAAGACACAGAAAGCATTCCCTTCACCCAGACATGTCCTTCCCCTCATCGTCTCTGCCCTCCTTCCAGAGGCAACCTAGCACCAAGGATTACTTCGGCGTTCTCTAAACATTTATAAACGGAATCACGTTGTGTTTAAAGAGGAGTATGGCCTGGTCAGTGTGACTCAGGGTTGAATGTCGACCCAGGAACCACTGGTTCAATTCCCAGTCATGGCATATGCCCAGGATGCCTGCTCCATTCCCAGTAGGGGCTGTGCAGGAGGCAGCCGCTCAATGATGTTCCTCTCTCATCGATGTTTCTATCTCTCTACCCCTCTCCGTTCCTCTCCCTCTAAAAATCAATAAAACATATTTAAGAAAATAAGGAGGAGTGTGAATTATGAGCAAGAACAGGCAGTTCCTAGTGGGAATGAAAAATAGTGCAGACGCCTTGGGAAACAGCCTGGCAGGTCCTCAAAAAGTTACACACTGAGTTGCCATATGACTCAGCAATTCCACTCGGGCATCTATACACGAGGAAAATGAAAACACACGTCCACTCAAAATCTTGGAAGTAAACTCTCAGAGCGGCATTATGCATAATGACCCCCCCCCCCGCAAATAAAAACAGCGCGGTGCCCATCACCTGGCAGATGAGCAAAGAAAATGGGGCCTTAAGTCCTACAAGGGAGCATTACTCAGGCATAGAAAGGAATGATACGTGGGAAGTACAGATGCTGAGGCGTCGTGAATGAACCTTGCAAACATCACGCTAAGTGAAAGAAGCAGTCAGGAAAGACCACATAGCGTAGGATTCCCTTTATACGAATGTCCGTATAAATAGGCAAGGGCATAAAGCAGATTGCAGGTGCTTAAGCCCGGGAGGGGGTTGTGCAGGCAACAGCTAAAAGTTACAGGCTTTTATTTATTTTCTGAGGTGGTGAAAATGTTCTAAGATTGGGAAATTGCATGGTATGTAAATTAAATCTCAACAAAGCTATTTAAAGAAACCAACCATTTGGAATCCACAAAAGTAGAGCCCGTTGCGATGCCCAGAAAACACAGTTTCCCCGCAGTGGAATTTTAACGGAAGGGTGTGTTAAAAATCATGATTTCATTCCATGGAGACATGCGTTACAGAAACCAAGGGCTGGAAGGGGAACAGTGGGGCACAGTTGTGGCGAGAGACCCCCCTCACCCCCTGAGGAACATAACTGGTGCCCAGCAACGTTTCCTTCTTGTGACCAGGTCATGGTTTTGCTGCTGCTTTCCCCCCAGGTCCCTGTCCTGCCTCCAGAGTCGAAACTCCTAAGAGTTCAGGAGCCGTTCACCAGATCCATTCCTTCCTTCCACAAACATTTACGAAGCTGGTATGTAGGAGAAAGCCCACAGCCATATCTAGTGTTGTCATCATATTTCCCTGGTTTCGGGCGCCAGCATTTTTAAGGGCATGTTGGATGTCTCTGTGTGTCTGGTCCTGTGGTTA